TTTTCTTTTTTCAGAACACAGGCCCAAGAGAGATCATGTGACCATCTAAAGACTAAAAGGATAAAGGTTAGGAGAGCCAATTTAGTTCTAATAACCTTTAAAGATTCTTTTCAAGCAAATTAGCTTAAATGTGAAAAAAACCCCAACTCCAAAGAGCGTGTAAGACTTACCCACTAGAAACCATGCAATGCACCATAAACAGCAGCATTCAATAATTTCAAGGAAAAGGAACTTGCACAGGCTTCTTAAAAGGGAAATCAGACAGTAATGAAGTTATCTGTTAGCCGACCGCTGGCACAGGAGCTTGCTTACCTAGCTTCTGGTCAAACCGCCACGCTGTGACATAGGCATTGTGCCTCAGACTGCTCTGTGTGGCCAGGGGCACGGTGACATAAATGGGGCCATCCACCAGCACCGGCGTTCCATCATTGCTGAGCAAGTGGACGCTGACGGCTGTGACGGGGGTCAGGTCGTACCTGGTGCTGTTTCCTGGAAGCAAGAGACATTCTCCATCACATGCACACACAGGACTTACATGGGGCTGCAGAAACTGTTCAAAGAGAAATATCATAGCTACCATCTACTGAGGACTGGGCCTCCTATAAGCCAGGGACTCTATTCAGCATCTTACACACATAATCCTCACCACGACCTTCTAAGGTAGGTAAAATTCCCATCTTACACATAAACAAACTGAGGCTCAGAGAGGGTAGTAATAAGAGCTGGTCTTCGGATATAGGCTAGTTTGAATCTGCAAACCTGATCCAAGCTTGGGTTTGCAGATTCTAACCACTGTGCTGTGCTTTCAAAAAGGGCCTCAAGGGACTTCCCTGGTGGTCCAGTGGTTAAGACGCTGAACTCCCAATGCAGGATGAGCGGGTTCGATCCCTGGTCGGGGAACTAAGATCCTGCATGCTGCGCCCCTCTCCCCAAAAACAAGGGCCTCAAGAGAGAAGGGATTGTCTATAAGGGGAGAAGAGGTATGTGTGGAAACCCCCGAAATCAACATCTACACAAAGCGGGCACTGCACACATGATAATTACTCGGCGGGTCACCATAATGGAACCAAATGATTTAAATCAGAGACTGCTGAAAAAAAAAAGGAGTGAATTTCTTCAAGGAGTACTTCAAAATATTAACTTACTGCTACTAAAAGTACACTACTGAAAACTTGGATCTGAAATATTTATGAGTTATTTTGGTTGCCACTGTTATTTTGATCTGTTTAAAAGGAATTTAATATACCAATTATTTTGCATTAGAGGCCTTTTATCCAAGCCAATGCTTTAATGACTGTCTACAGATAAACTGGGGAATGCTTATGAGAGCAATATTATATTCATACAGTTAAGCGGTCCATTTGCGAAGAATTTTTCTCCAGTGAAATATATCATACAAAATGTATTCGGTCATAATTTGAAATCTTCCCTTGAACACGATGAAAACACACTGATAGAAAAATGTAAGCTACATTAGAACACCATTTATAGGATTTCTTAGTAAGCTACTTATATACTCACCTACCTATCAACTAACTACCCAAGCTAATGCAAACCTCCAAAGAGGACTAAATTTAAACATTTAAAACAAATCTGGTGAATTTTAGAGTCTGAACAACCAGTGAGAGCGAAACCCTTTGTAGAGCAATCTCTATACGGCTAATGTTAGCACTATCTTTTATGAATCATGCCCATCTCTGTTTTCCAGTGAAGGGAAAGGCATGGAGATGAGGATTTCATCCAAAGGTCCACGTTGGAAGCATAGATTCAAGTTCTGAAATCTTTTTATCCTGTGGCCATTTCATTTTAGGGTGAAGAAAAACCAAAGCGCAGAATTTATCATCCTTCTGGTCAAACTACCTTGTGGATGGAGGACCTAAATGTGTCCATTGCCCAAAGGCAACATAGAAGCAAAGCCAGGTCTCCAATGTACCTCTCTAGGTTCTCTTAGACTCTCTAGATGAGACAGGACTTAAAACAAAGAGCGATTAAGTAACTTACTAGACTTCACATAAACAATTTAAAGATAATGTTTTCAATCAGGAAGTAGTGCTTCTTTCATCAAACCCGCGGCAGGAAGTCTGCCCGGGGAAGCTGCAGGTAGAGCAGAAGGGTGCTCCAGACCCATCATCCTTTCGTCCCACTTAACACTGCCTCTTGATTCCCAGAGATGGCAACCCCATTGTCCCCACTCATCCCCTTTCGAGACTTCCTTCCTATAATCTTGCAGATCCCTGGCCCAGGAAGCCAGGGTCCCAGTACCAGATCCGCCACCGACTACTTATGTGGCCTCTGGCGAGTTACTTCCCTGCTCCGGGGTCTGTTTTTCTTATCTGCAAAACTAAGGAGGTTGGACTAGATGCTTTCCTGTGAGGCTACAGAAAGGAACGAACTCGACTATAAACATTCAGAAGTAAGAACAGCACTGCAGAAAGGGGCATATCCTTTTAAAGCAACATGCCCTAGGCGCATGTGCTTTAAGGTTCTTTAAAATGTTCTCTGTTAGAAGACATCACAGGCAATTATACCTGCTCTCCTGAGGCCTCTTTCCTCTCTCACTGCTTCCACTCCATGCCTTCCAGATGACAGACCCTCCCACTTTCTTTCTTCTGGACATACTTTGAAGGGCTACACTGTTTTCCTTCCAGCCCTCGTTATTAGAGGGCAAAACAACACTGAGTTCTCTATATAAGGAGTGTCTCCTTCCTGTTCATCTTGATGTACCTGACTCCCATCACGTCCGAAGAAAGACAGGTGTCTGTCAGGCAAAAGCAGAAACCCTGGACCAAGCTAGGAGGCCACCAATTCATCACTTAGAACAAGAGGGGTTTTGCTCGGATAGCATCTCCGGTTCTGTTTGGCTTTGGACATTAGTCATACTACTGACTCCTCTGCTTTCTCGGATCTACTAGCAGAAGTAATTTCTTGAAAACCCCTCGGGAGCGTCACGGAACAGGTCTGCGCTTTCTTGGCAACCACAGCGGAGAGCGTATGAGGGTGCACGGGAACGAGCAAATGAGGAAGGGACTGAAACCTCCACATGGCTGCGTTTCTCTGTCTACAACTCTGGATCCCTCCAAGGGGGGGAAATAAACAACCCCCCTTAGGACACGGCAGGGAAACCAGCCTCTTTCCAACTGCATTTGTGGCCTCTGTTTATTTTGCTGAATTCTAGTGATAACCTGTCACCTCACACGGGTTTGTGTGGTCCAGGCTCTCACACTAAGTTGGAATCTGTTAGATGCGGTTTATGAAACGGGAGGCCAACGTGGGGCAGAAGAGAATCCCTAGTTGATGGGCCGCTGGGGTGCTAGGCAGACACCACGCTGCCCTTCCTTGGCAGGAGGTCTGATTCTTCCTAGGTCAACTGGCCAGTTATTTCAGTGGAAAACAAATTGAATGTAACCTTCCAAAGACCTTCTCTCTTCCCTCTGAAATAAGAGAGTGATTTTAAAATAAAACAAACTACTCTAAAATCAATAGTCCTATGTCTTTTCTACCTTACCGTCGTCTCGGATTTCATAATTTATTCAAGAGCTCTCGGAATTGGGGCACAGAAAAAAACTGAATGAGCTCCAAGGAACGAGACTGTTCTTCCAACTCGGGGCTTTCTGATGGAGGCTGAATGGAGGTTTCATGATGGCCTGGGATTATCCTGTTCCCCGAAACACTACTTTGCTCCCAGGCCTGTCCATTTAAATGAAAAGTCAACATTTTTCTTCCCAATAATATTCACTTAAGACGACCACCATGCAACTTTTCTGGCGGTCAGTGACTGACGTATTCATTGCATCATTATCACGCAAAAATTCAAGGAAGGAGGAACGTTTCTCAAAGCGGGTATCGCAGAGGGAAGAAAAGCGGGTAACAAATCACCACGTGAGCTCGATCTGTAACCAGACATTTATTAACATTCTACAGAACGGATCAGATGTGGCAGGTATAAAAAGCTTCTGCAGAACGATCAGTTTCTGTAAAGCACTAGACAATTAAGTGAAATTCAATCAAAGCGTCCCTGGGAAATGCAGTAACTACTCACCTAGCGGGATTTAACCCAGAAGAGCCTTTGGTTTTCAAGTTTATGTTGTGACTCGTGTTGGGGAAAAGAAGAGGGGGAGACAGGAAAATGAGTCAGGGCTTGAGACTCGGCCACCATCCATTCACCAAAAGGAGGACCGGGGACCACGTCAGCACCGAGCTCTGTCGGCGGGGAACGGAGGTAAGGGCGGTCTTTCACCGGTAAGGAACGATTACCTATTTTCTGGCTGGTGGCTTTTAGTTTCTGTGATCTTTGAGCAGTGTGTGTACTGCCGGCCTAGGGTGAGAATGACCAAGCGGACTTAGAGGCCTTCCAGGAGATGTTTCAAAGTCAAGTATGAAGCCTCATCACTCTTCGCAGAGAAGGCAAGGAGAGGGCAAACTCAGAGAAAGGGAGGTCGTGAGAAAAGGCTGGACGGACTCAGCCGGCAGAGCCCAGAGGCTCCCTGCCCCCCAAGTGCTCCCTGTGCTGGTGGGAGGGGGCATGGTGTGTTCGTCTGGGAATCAGGCCCAGGGCCACCCCCGCCCCTCCCAGCTGTGACATGTGCCCGGGGTGGGGGCGGGGGGGACCGTGCATCTCCGCACAGCTGGGCAGGCTGCTCCACCAAATACACGTTCCAGGGGCGAGTGGGGCGAGGCTGAGAACAGGGGGACAGAAAACCTCTAACTCTGATCGGACACTTAAAAAAATTCAATTAAAAGAACTTCTGGGAATTAAATATACTTCGTTGGCCAACGGAGAGCTCAGGCAACTGGTACCAAGAGAGAGGCTCAGGGAGACAAGCTCATGAAAGTGGCGCAGGCTGAAGTCCTCAAATGACACTTTCAGTGCCCTTGAATTTGTAGACGACAGATCTGCCCTTCTGCACCTCGGGTTGGGTTCTCCCACTTATAAAGATACAAGCACATATAAAGATGCAAACGCAGACTGCCCGGCTGGAAAGAAACGAGCCTCGAGTTACCTGTTCCGTTTCCATCTAGTCCCCGCAAATAAGGAAAGCCATCCACCTCCGAGGGGGAGCCGGCGGCCGTGAGAAAGGCTGTCAGGTCACTGTAGCTGGTGTTCTCGGGCAGCCGCAGAGCTCTCCTCTGGAAATGCACGCGAGGCTGCGGCCGGGCACCTGCGGAAATGAACCCTGGAGTTATCTCTCGGAGGGGCGGTTTCTGTTTCCAGAAAACGCAAACCCCGGAAAAGCTCCTCTAAGGTTTCAGCGTGGCTTCCCCGTCTCCACTCCTCTCTGCATCCCCTCACATCGCCCCTTCACGCGGGCACAAAGATGTGACAGCATGTTATTATGGGGAGAGAAATAATAGCCCATTGTCACGTTTGCTCTGACACAGGATGTTATTTAGATTTTTCACAAAAATCTCTATTTGTGAGCAGTCTTTTCACTGCCCAGCCTTCGCCTATGGGTAGGGGTAGCGTTTTGGGAAAAAGTCCACGTTAAGTGAAATGAGTAGATGACAATTAATCTCTTGATACAAACAAGGCAGGAGAGACCCTTTGACACTGTTACAGACACATCCTTAGTCTTCCTGGTAAAATCTGGTCTAAGTGCACAGACCAAGCTGAAGCAGAGCAGGGCAACAGACCAGCAGCTGGACAAGACACTGCAAATAAGAACCCACAGTAATGAGTCCTTTCTCTTCGGCGGAAGCTGCCTTTTGGCATTCCATCTACTCTGGTGGGTGCCTCTGACTCGCGACGGGTCATGTTACAGATTCTATGATGAGCCTTTTGAAAGGATGTGAGAACTGCTCTTTTCAGCACACTCAACTCTGTGCAGGATGGGCTGAGCCAGTGACCCTGTTACGCAGTTACCTTGTGACACCATCCGCAGTTTGACTTTGCTCCAGGTCTTATTTTGACTGTAAAACCTGAACCCGTTTTTATCTATTGCTGTAGCGAGGGTCACAAGACGCAAACGTGCTATATTAGTTTGCACACACAACCAGTAAAAACATCGTGAAGACCAAAATGAATAGAGATGGGAGTTGGAGCATTTCCCAATGGAAGTACACATCTCTCTGGGTTAAAATAAAGTGGTTCCTTGGACTTCCCTGGTGGTGCAGTGGTTAAGAATCTGCCTGCCAATGCAGGGGACATGGGTTCGAGCCCTGCTCTGGGAAGATCACACATGCCACGGAGCAACTAAGCCCGTGCGCCACAACTACTGAGCCTGCGAGCCACAATTGCTGAGCCCGCGTGCCACAACTACTGAAGCCCGTGTGCCTAGAGCCTGCGTTCCGCAACAAGAGAAGCCACTGCAGTGAGAAGCCCAGGCACTGCAACGAAGAGTAGCCCCCACTCGCCACAACTAGAGAAAGCCCGCGCACAGCAACAAAGACCCAACGCAGCCAAAAACAAATTAATTAATTAAAAAAATAAATAAAGTGGTTCCTCAAACGTGGTGGTCTGCCCTGATGTTCTGGTCATCATATATCCCACCCCAGGCTTGAGGGAGACCACGTTTCCCTGTGGTCTGCTGGGGGCTTCCTCTTCCCCACCCACGGATGTCCTGACACAACAGCCCTGCCCAGAGTTCATGGTCTTTATGTCTACACCAAGGTTCCTCTTCACCCTGGATCAGAAACTTTTAAAGGGGACTTCCCTAGTGGCACAGTGGTTAAGACTCCGCGCTCCCAACGCAGGGGGCCTGGGTTCGATCCCTGGCCAGGGATCTAGATCCCACATGCATGCCACAATTAGAAGTCTGCATGTCGCAACTGGGAAGCCCGTGTGCCACAACTAAGGAGCCCTCGAGCCACAACTAAGGAGCCTGCCTGCTGCAACTAAGACCCGATGCCACCGAAAATATTAATAAATAAATAAATAAATATTTTTTTAAAAAAGAAACTTTTAAGGGAGGAATAAGCCTATCAAGAAGTGTTCTAGGGGAATTCTCTGAAGGTCCAGTGGTTTGGACTCTGCGCTTTCACTGCCGAGGGCCCGGGTTCAATCCTTGGTCAGGGCACTAAGATCCTGCAAACTGCAAAATAAAATAAGATAAAATAAAAAGCAGTGTTCTAGAATTACGGAGTTCTGGAGCTCCAAGGATCAACTAATCCAAGTCTCTTCTGACAGGTGAGCCCACAAAATGGACTCACCACCAACACAGACTTACGGGGTGGGCTGCCTTGACCATGTATGACCAAGGCGGTCATGACGGCACCTGAAAATCACAGACTGCATTTCTCAGATGACTGGTTCTCCATAAACACTGGCCCAGCTTTAGATCCCATGGGAGCCTATATGAAGCCTATCTGACAGCAGTTCTATCTGAAGCTAAGTGGACACGGACGTCGGTCCTGTTCTAGACCATCGATGCCCTTTCTTGGTCCCTAAAACAAAGCTATGGTGATGCATTGGCATCCACATAGCTGAATCTTCTTTCAGCTCTTGTGAGTCTGCTCTCCTTGTCCTCTGATTTCACGTGACAGCAATGCCTTCCTGCTGTCACCTCCTCGGTCTGCGCAGGGCTCAGATGCCTCATGCTCCCAGCGGGTGGGGCGTTCTCCATGCCGGCCCGGAGCATCGTGCCTCACCCGATCCCTTTTCCCCCAGCCCGCTTCCCGCACATGCTGTCTGCCTCAGAGACGGAAGTTCAAAGCGAACCCTTCCTCGGCCATCTCCTCACCCCCAGCTACGTGACAACGTTCTCTGCTCCTGCTACCATTTTCTTTCAACGCTAGTGAATGTCCTGCGACTTGTTTCCTCTTCTCCACCGTTCTTCAGCCTAAACAGTGTTGCTGTCGCCTGGGTTTCATGCGCTGGGAAACGGGGAACTCGCTACTAGGAAGGACAGAAGGGTGTGTCTGCAGCGTGACGGCGCAAAGAGGGGCTTGTCCTCACAAGGGTCACGGCAGAAAGCAGGGGCCAGGCGGGTTTTACCCCAGAACACTGTGGGTCCTGTGTGCCCCTCCGGGCCCCGTGAGATGGGCAGGTTGAAGTCACCGTGAAGGCCCCTTTGGCTGAAAGGAACAGAACCCACTCATCCTGGACCAAGGGAAAGGGGACGTTGCTAAAAGATGAAGGGGAGTCCTGCTGAGCGCCAGGAAACTAGCCCAGCCAGGCCTTATGGGGAGAGGCCTGGGACCCGGACACTACAACCGAGGCTGTTCCCAGCTCTCGGGCCACTGGGCGTCTCATTCCCATTCTTTTTTTTTTTTTTTTTTTTTTTCTGATTTTAAATTTTAATAAATTGAAGTTTAAAGAAGTCCTCCTTAAATTCAATTTAAAATGGTATCCTTTTCAGATTGAGGGAGATTTTAAAGAGGTGGCTACTTTTGTCATTGGTTCCTCATTTTTTTTTTTATTGTTTTTTACTCTACTGAGAGATGTTAGGTTTTAGTTCTTCTCATTTATTTATTTATTTATTTATTTATTTATTTATTTATTTATTGGCTGCGTTGGGCCCTAGTTGCGGCACGTGGGATCTTTCGTTGCAGCACGCAGCCTTCTCTCTAGTTGTGAAGCTCTGAAGCCTGTGCAGGCTCAGTAGTTGCGGCGCGTGGGCTCTCTAGTTGAGGCATGCAGCCTCAGTAGTTGCGGCGCATGGGCTCCAGAACATGTGGGCTCTCTAGTTGAGGCATGCAGCCTCAGTAGTTGAGGCACGCAGCCTCAGCAGTTGTGGCGCGCAGGCTTAGTTGCCCCGTGGCACGAGGGATCTTAGTTCCCCGACCAGGGATCGAACTGGAGTCCCCTGTGTTGCAAGATGGATTCTTAACCACCGGACCACCAAAGAGGTCCCAGTTCCTCATTTTTTTTAGTTGAAGTATAATTGATTTACAATATTGTGTTAGTTTCAGGTGAACAGCAAAGTCATTCAGTTATACGTATATTTTTTCAGATTATTTTCCATTATAGATTACAAGACATTGAATATTATTCCCTGTGTTATACAGGAGGTCCTTGCTGCTTATCTATTTTATATATAGTAGTGTGTATCTGTTAATCTCAAACTCCTCAATTATCCCTTACCCCCTCCCCTGCTCTTTCCCCTTTGGTAACCATGAGTTTGTTTTCTATGTCTGTGAGTCTATTTCTGTTTTGTAAATAGATACATTTGTATTATTTGCTTAGATTCCACATATAAGTGATATCACGTATCATCGCAGTTCGGTGTCTGTCTGTCTGTCTCTGTGTATGTGTCTATTTCTCTCTGCCCCTGTGTGCATGTCTCTGCCTCTGTCTCTCCCTGGCACACCATGCGTTTCAGCGGGAGACACACCTCTCCCCACTCCTCTTCCCCTGCTGCCCCCCTTCCCTTTTCTGTGCAGAAGAATTCGCTCCCCGACCAGACACCGTGTCTGTCCCCCACTTCTGGAGGAGTGGGGGGCACAGAGCGGTGACGCTGGGGCAGGTTTACTCGAAGAGGGTGTGGCTGGTCCAGCTGCTTTGACACACGCTGTGACTGGCACGCCCTGATGCCGCTGGGGGATCGAATACAGGAGCACGGGCTCTGCCTCATGAAATGCCCCGAGAAACGTCTGAGGGGTGTAAGGGTCGAAGTACTCTGAGCCGCAGCATAAATATGATCTAAAGTGGGTACGTGTCGGGTTGCGGGGTGGTTATGCTCTTAAGCCTAAGTTTATGGATTAAAGCTGCCGAGTTCCCACACATTTCAGGAGGGGGACCTGACTGGGTGGTGAGGGGAGGATGGAGGGGGACGGGTCTGTCCCTCTTTGGATGCCTCTCCTCCACACTCCCCACAGCAGCTGTGTCATGCTCCATCCTCCTTGGGGCTCCACCATCATCCCCCAAATGCTCAGACCCGACTCTACTAAAAACACTGGGGTGGGCTTCTCATTGCGGTGGCTTTCCTTGGGAGCACGGGCTCTAGGCACGTGGGCTTCAGTAGTTGCGGCACGTGGGCTCAGTAGTTGTGGCTCACAGGCTCAGCAGTTGTGGCGCACGGGCTTAGTTGCTCCACAGCACGTGGGATCTTCCCGGACCAGGGCTCGAACCCGTGTCCCCTGCATTGGCAGGCGGATTCGTAACCGCTGCGCCACCAGGAAAGCCCCCTCCGGCTGCACTTTAAAATCTTTTTTCCCTCTTTTCTGCTGCCTCTTCTGCCCCTGCCCTCACCCAAGGTCAACCCGAGTTTCCTAACTTTTGCTT